TTCGTATTGAGGTGCGTGGACCTTCATTAGACCAACACAAGCACGGCGCTCAACTAAAATCCAAGTTTTTACACGCACTAGGGTTCCACAATTAATAAAACCTTATTATTTATTTTATTTTTTAAATTTTGTTTAAAGGGCCGCGCGTTCCCTCCCAACGTGACAATAATAATTAACTCTAAGTTTTTTTAAATAATAATGATAATAATAATAATAATACTGATAATGATAACAAGAAAGGAAAAGGGGAAAGAAAAAAACGTGTGATTCGTACCGGGTGAAAAACACAACATTTGTATTTTTCAAACGGTACCACGTGACTTTTTTAAAAATAATTTTAAATTGAAGACGAAGGAGAAGAAGAAGAAGAAGAAGAAAAAGAAAACTTGATAATGATGACTCGAGTGACAAGGAGGAAGATGTATATAAAAAAAAAAAAAAAAAAAAATTATTTTTATACGACGTATATATATATTATTATTATTCATTATTATTATTATGATAAGCGAAGTATGTGTTATTGTTATCTATCTTTTTCTTTTTACAAAAAAAAAAATGGCTCAAAATACTTTTTTACGTTTTATATATATATATATTTAAATAACCGTCGTTCGGTCGTTAAGTAAAACGAATTTTAAAAAAGTTTTTATTTTATTTTAATTTGTTGAAAGTTGCTCCTCTTGTTGTTGTGGTTGTTGTTGTTGTTGTTGTTGTTGTTGTCGTGATGCAGTTGCAGTTGCAGTTTTTTTCTTTTTCTTGTTGCCCCCCTTTTCGAAACGAAGAGACTTGGAAAAATTAATCGACTCGAACTTTAAATATTAAGGTTTTAGTATCATCACACATGTTGCAGGTGCGTGTGGGTGCGTGCGTGCGTGCGCGTTCAGACTTTACGCAATTACGAACCATACCTTCATATGGAAACACGTTGTTGACGGTTGTGTATGTGTTGAATACATTCGAATAATGAGTTTATTATTATTATTTTTTTTATCATAATCAGTGGTCAGTTAGGAAAACATTGGAATTTAATAATAATAATGATAATAATAATAATGAAACGAATTATGAGTTTTGGTTATCAAGTTTTCTTTAAAGTGCCAAAAGTCATTCCCAAATTTTTTTTTTTTTTTTTTTAATTTTTGTTTAGAAGAAGATGATAAAGAAGAAGAAAAAGAAGAGAAAAAAAAAAAAATTTAAAATAAATAAAACGATTTTTATTATATTGTATTATTATTAATATTAAGTTAACAAAAGTGAATGATAATAATGATAATGATAATGATAATAAAGAAGTTACCTTTTATCGTATATATATAACGTATTTTTTTTTTTTTAAAGAGGGTGAGGAATTTATACATATATAAATAAATATTATTAACTTAATTTAAGTTTTTATTAAGCTTGTTATGTACAGACTGGTACGAGATTTTAAATAATAATAATAATAATGATGATAATGATGATGATGATATTCTTTTGTTTGTTTTTATTATTTACTTTTTATTATTATTATTTTTTTATTTTATTTTATTATTTTATTTTTATTTTTTTTTTGTACGGCTTCCTTTCTTAATCTTTATCTTTATCTTTATTTATTTATTTATTTTCACGTGGTGGGTACGTATGTAATACGCATTAAACGCATTTTTACGCACTTTTTTAATTTTTTTTGGTTTTTAAAGTGCACGCTTCGCTCATTTTTTTAAAAAATTTTTTTATTTTTCTCGGTTTTTTTTTTTGGGTTGCGGTGAAATTTTAGGCAAAAGGGTTTGGTATATCGAAAATTGATTGATTGATTGATTGATCGATCGATCGATCGATCCGTGTGTTTATATTGCATAATGATAATAATAATATTAAATATTTATTGGAGATTTTATTTATTTTAAAAAGTTTAAATAAATATCATGATCGTCGTGAAATTTTTAAAATTTATCGGTTATTATAAGGAGAGGGGAAGAAAATAAACAAACCGGAAGTGGAAGAAAGTTTCCGGTAAAAGTAAAATGTCGAAGCTCAAAACGATTTTTATATATATATATATATATATTAATTTTTTTTTTTTTTGGTGTGAACGTATAAATAAAAAATTAATTAATTTAAAAGTTTTGTATTATTATTATTATTATTTATTTATTTTTATTAATATTTTTATTGATATTTAATTAATTAAATAAATAAATAATAAAGGAGGTGAGTTAAAAAATGGTTTAATTTTTTTTTTTTTTTCACGTCGTTTGTTTGATTTGTTTAAATAAATAAAAATTTTTATTTGGATAAAAGAACGAATATTATTTTGGTTGTTTTTAACGAAACAATTACGTTTGTCGTTTGTTTGTTTGTTTGTTTGTTTGTTTTTATATAAAAAGATGGGAAAAGAAAAAAAACGTGTTTGATTTTTTTTGCTTCCAGGATGAACGTATGTTTTCAGCTCGTTCATAACAACATAATTAAAAAATTTGGTAAGGAAAATTTTAATTTTTATATAATTAAATCTGTGATTGTTGTTGTTGTTTGTTATTGTTTGTTGAATTAATAACATTATTTTTTTTTTCTCTTGATCGGTTTCAGGAAGGAAATAAATTTTTTTTTTTTAATTTTGTTATCGCCTATATTCGGCTAGATGAGCATTCCACATCATTTCTCTTCTGCTACTACTACTACTACTACTACGATATTATGAAAACAAAATGATAATGATAATGATATTTTTTATTTATGTTTATTCATACATTATGAATGAAAATTACCCAAGTATTATTATTATTATTATTATTCAATGAGAATGAATGTTTATGTTTTATGCTTTATTTCCGACGGATTCATAATTCATTCACGTTTAAATTGTTTTTTTTGGGGGGGGAGGGGAGAGAGAGAGAGGGGGGTAAATTATGCCAAAATATGAAGAAAAATTAATTTGCAAAGTCTTAAAATCTTATACTGATGATATTATAAAACGTAATTTTAATTAATCAATTAAAATTAAATCTCTGGGATTTGTTTAAAAAGAGAGAGAGAGAGAAAACATTTAATATTGCTTATTAATATTAAAACGCATTTAATTGGTTTGGAGAGAGAGAGAGAGAGAGAGAGATAGAGAGAGATTTTTATAAAACTAAATGATATTATTTGCTTTTTAGTTTACTATTCTCATAAAAAGAAAAAGTTTTTTTTTAAATATATTTATTTATAGGGAGCTTAAATTGCATTTGCATATTGTCAATATTATATACTTTTTTTTTTTTTTAAAAGAGAAAAATTATTTATTAAAATTATTATATAAGAGTACTTAGTATGAAATTTATTATTTTCAATTAAAAATTAATATAATAATAGTAATAATCGCGTCGAAATTTACTTAAAAAATATATTATAATAATATGATAATTGTATGAGAAATGTTTGTCTGTTTAAATGACGGTGTTTTATTATTAATAATATAAATTTTTTTATACTTAAAAAAAAAATTAATACGACGTTAAAGTTATTGAAATTTTTTTTTTTTCATTTAATCGTTTCGGTTAAGGGTTTATTTTTTTAAATTTCTAAGGAAAAATTTACCGAAAATAAAAGCTTATTTAATTACGTGCATTATTTTAACGTTAACCAAATAAATCAATGAAATATTATTTAAAATTAATTTTTAAGCATTCCTTTTTGTTTGTTTTTTTGATATTATTTAATTTAATAATATAAAAAAAAAATGAGTTTTTATTATTATTATTATTATTTATTCCATCTACGAGTCCTTATTTTTGAAATAAAATTAAAATTTAAAGAAGATTGTAAACTGTTACAAATGTTTTAAGAGGGAAATAAACAATAATAAATTTAATGGCGATCGATTGTCGCCATTTTGAAATTTGAAAAATTGCGACAAGAATTCGGCAGTCACGAGGATATTTATTATCGTATACTATAGAAATTTGTACGACTTATTTTGCAAGTTTTTTTTCTTTTTTTGTATTTTTAACGGTGAATTTTTTTTTTTTTTCAAATGATTTTAATCCATAAAATATTTTATTTAAGAAAAAAATCGTAAATTTTATACGCACACACGCACGCGCGCACACATATATATTTTTAAATAAAACGCTTTCCAAAAATAACTGGAGAAATGCTTTGGAACAAATTTTTTTTAAGGAACTTTCACTGTTCATGACCGCATTTCCGACTTACAATGTCAAATGCCTAAAGCCGTTTTCTCTTTCGTTGGTGATTTAACCGAAAGTCTTCATTTGACGTAACAAAATCCTTTGCACTCCGTCAGTCGAATTCTCTCTGTTGTACTGTAGACAACGTTTAGTGAGTTTTTTTTATTATTATTTTTATTTATAATTATATTTGTTTTCGGGTTATGACAGTTATTTGTTGAATACGTGTTAAAAACAATGATTAAATATTGTTTTAATTATTTTTAAGTGAATGAATCTCACTAATGAGCCAATTTTAATTTTGAAGTCAAGAGTTCTACTTATTCAATTGGTAATGTATTTATTTTTCTTATCCTCTTCTATATAAAAAACCATAATAACATACTTTTAATAAAAATATACAAATTTATTTAAACAAATAACTGTTTAAAAAAAAAAAAAAAAAATGTTACATATACATTTATTAATTAAATATGGCCAAGTGATAAATATAATTAAAATCTTGGAAATCGTTTTACAATTTTATTTTATAAATAAAATATTTTAAATTTAAATATTTTTATTAAATTAAAACACTCGAATGTTTATAAGACTCGACTAAAACAAAAGGTTGATATTAATTGTTTCACTCTGAGGAATTTTAATTATTTTAAATTTTTTCATATAAATATTTATTTTTAACCCAATTATTTATAGTATTCATACCTTCACATTTATTAATATCGCAGAGTTTTACTTATTGACTGCCAATTTGCTTAAAATGTTTATTTGTGAAAGCCCATATGGTCAAAAATGCTCAACTCATAATTGTATCACATACTTTATTTTATTCAGGCCACTTGTTAAAAATTTTTTTTTTTTTTTTTTTACTCAATATAAATGTTTAATTTATTTTAAACTATTAATTATTAGTTATTTAAAGTCTTTAAATCTATATTATTATTATTATTTATAAATAAATTTAGTGTGATTGACATGACTGAAGATTAAGGTTAATGAAATGTTAAGAAAAATTATTATTATTATTTTTAAATTATTTATATGTTTTGTAAAATTTGTAGAAAAACCTTAAAATGTAAGGTTAAGGTGTTGTGTTTTTTAAATTTTATATATTTTTAACAAAAATTTATTTTATTTTATTTTATGCAGAAATAATAAAAAAGTACTCAACAAATTAAATTTAAAAAAAAAGATGGCGGTCAGGACATTGAATACAACATGTAAAAATCTAACGAATTCTATTAAAATGCATAATTTGAAATGTCAATCGGTGTCCACAAGCATCGATATAAACCGGAAGAAATTATTCAAAATGGAAAATAATAATAATCAAATTGAAAAGGGAATTTTTAGATGTTACGGTACATCTCATTTGGCACCAAATCAAAAACCTGATTGGAACAAGGCAGTTTCAGAAGCGGAGAAAATCGTTGGATATCCGACTTCTTTTTTAAGCCTAAGATGGCTTTTAAGTGACGAAATTGCCAATATAGCATTACATTTGAGAAAATTAGTTGGTAGTAATCATCCCTTGCTTAAAACGGCCAAGTAAGTTGACATTTTTTTTTTTTTTTTTTTTTTTTTTATTAGAGTGAAATTTTTTCCTTCTTCCTCCCCTCCCCCTCTCGCCCCCCTACAAAAACTTAAACTTGTTACAAAATTTTACCGGTCGTTAGTCTTAGTCAGAAAAAAAATACCTCCGGGTATTTATAATTTTAAAAATTTCGGGTATTTTTTTTTTTTTTTATACAAAATTTCTTTATTTTAAATTTTTATATGTTTCTATTATTATTATTATTATTATTATTATTATTATTATTGTGTGTCGAGGCGTTTCCTGTTTTTTTTTTTTTTTTTGTTTTCTCTTTTATTAATTTCAACAACAACAACAAACAACAAATTAAGTTTTTTTTTTTTTTTTTTTAAAACAATTATTATTGTGAATTGAATGAATAATAATAATAATAATAATTTACAGAAGTCTTCTGTACAATGGAAGGAACAACATGCAAGCTTGGGGTTTGATTGTTTTGCTCATATCAAAAGCAGCTGGACATTTAAACGTTGATGAAATGGAAGAAGATAAAGCTGCTGGAGTCTTACACAGGTTGACCAACAAATCATTTACATGGAGATTATTTGTTTCGCGACATTATTATTATTAATATTATTATGTTTTACAGTCAAAGAGCTCTCGCTGAAGTCACAGAAATGATTCGAACATCACATTTGGTACACAAGGGTCTCGTTAACATTTATCCAGGACTCTATTCGGAAACATCCGTTCTTAACGACATGACTTTTGGTAATAAGATAGCACTCCTAAGCGGTGACTACCTTTTGGGTAATGCCTGTGCTGAATTAGCTGGTCTAAGAAATCAAAGTGTGAGTGTCAAACTAATTTCTTTTAACTTTAAATGAAAGAAAGAATGTGTTGTTGTGGTTGTTGTTTCCACCATTTTGTTGCCCTGGTTTTGTTGTCTGTAATTTTGTTTTT